TCAAAAAAAATCACTAAACTTGTTCCGAGTGTCCCAAAATGTGTCCTCTTCATACAGGCTGTTGCCTTAAGCAGTTGTTTAATAGATTAAAGGAAAACCAATTACCTTCAATTGAAATGTCATTTGTTTTTCTTTTTAAATGTCACTTTTTGCTGCAGCAGTGCAGCAGGTTCTATACATCCTACAGATCCACCACTTCACAGGCAGGTTATGGGGACCCTCCAGGCACAATATTTGAAGGAATTTTTCATTTTTACTCTTACCCTGTAAATCGTGTAAAAATCACTGTTCCTTTAAAAAATATTTTTTGGGGGTTTTTTGTTTTAAATTTCATTGATTCCTGTCATTCAGGGCACTACCCGGATCCCCATACACTTTTTATGGCCAATAAATTGCATATAAGGCTTCAAAATGGGGACCTTTAATTTTCTGAGTTCTACCCCCATAGACTTGCATTGAGTTCTAAGTTCGAGTTAGAACTTTTTGCATGTTCGAAAGTTTGAGTTAGAACCGAACACGGGGGTGTTCGGCTCATCACTACTGACAAGGACTCTAAAAATACCTGAAGCCTGTACCTCTAAAATTTGAGTATGCATAGCACCTACAATATTTTTCCCAGGGTGGTTTTAAGACAGTATTAACAGCATAATGTGCATCATTGTGCAACCCAAATTCATGATATTTCCACAAACTTAAGATCGGCCACCAGTTTGTGAAAGTAGAGAACGTTAGACCCTCTGCCAGGTAAAAGTTTCCATCAGTGTTCTTGATAGGATTAGTAGCAACTCAATAGGCCTGAGGGAAAGCTATTAACCCAAGTTGTGGCAAGAAAAGGCATGGATGCCTTTTCATAATGGGCTCTTGTTCCAGTGACATCATGGGGGATATACCCAATTGGAAAGTACTCACTTGTGTTTAGAGCTGGATGAGAAAAGAAATCTCTAGAATAGGACAAATAGCAGAAAACCTGACTGGGACTTTAAAGCTAAAAACATTTGGAAGAGTAGGGGACTGTTAGCTATTGACTAGTACGGATGCAATTCTATTAGCTCTGCCCTGTCCTAGTGTAGACTCACCGATAGTAGTAGCACATTATGGGGACCACAGCTGGGTTGGTTCTGACGATTGGAATGGAGGAGGTTGGGCTGTAGGTCAGGCTGGTAGTGTAGACCACCCAATCTTGAGACATCTGCACAGAAAAGTAGAATGTTACTTGATTTGGCAGCTCTACACATCAGACATGTGACAGCCATTGTTTACCCATTTCCAAAGACTAGTCATCCATCATGCCATTAAGGATTCAGCAAGCATTTCCCTTTTACGATTCACAAGCTTCAGGTCAGTGACTCAGCCTGATAATTTAGAAGATCAATAGCAGACCCATATCTTATTGCAGGTTCTCTAGAAAAGTTTAAGACCACAGAAAAAAAAAGTAAAAAAATTAAATAAAAACCCTACAGGTAAAACTTAGAAAAATTTAATAAAATATTTTAAGTACTTCCTTGCAGCATTTTGCCTTCATATTGTTTTATTTAACTTGCAACGCACCTCTAAACTTACTAGGGAATAGACACATCAAGTACCAGTTTCCTTGCACAGATACCCGCCACCATTACACATCACAGCCCTCTTCTGGAGTGTCCAGTTATCCCATCCCTCCCTACATAACATTTTATGTGGCTGCTGGGGGAGGAGTGAAGGAATACTATGGATTGTATTTTAAATGATAGCGGCAAGTCAGCAGGGGCAGCTGACCTATCCAAGGTAGCAGCACTAAGGGCTATTGGATGTCTAAACAAGAGAAGCTCCTACAGGTAAACATGCCAAAGAGGTTAAGTGCACATAGATCTTATGCTGAAGGAGTCAAGCAACGGGATCTCATTAAGACAGCTACCAATGGTTGAAGACAAAACCCAAGAAAACCCCACACGTCTAAAAACCATGGTTCTCTATTAAGGCACCAGACTAAAGTCTAGCAAAAAATATGTCCCCCGAAATACTACCGGTCCTGTTCCCCACACTGTTAACTACTTTAGCAGTGCTCACAGGACCCTCTTCATCCACTCGTGGTTGCCATGTTAAAAAGACCTTCTGCTTTCTTGAACTACCCAACCTGAATTTCTAATCTTTGCTCTCCAAGAGCTATGGTGCCCAAAGATCAGAGGGCGGGTAACCACTCTTGCCAGTTAGGACTGATGCCATGGATCAGGGCTGCTCAATACAACAGCAATTTTGTTCTGCAGTTTGGAGCATTCCTGTAACAGGAGCCATTATTAGCCACAGCTGGCTGCCTAGATCTACATTACAAGATCTCAGTTCATCTAAATACATATCCAACAAGAGGATCACCACCTGATATAGAAAGCCTGCGAGTGGGTCAGCCACCATGATGGTGAATGCTGAGGGACTGCAGTGACCTGAGCAGAAGACAGAACCAGAGTCAGTAACCCACAACCTGCACGGTGTAACCCATTTGAAAACACTAGCCCCTTTAGATCAGGTGAAGAGGTCACATTATAAATTATTGGTTGAGAGTCTTCTTGTACTGGGTACAGAGCAATGCAGAATGCCACCAGCTATAGAGAACTACAAATCCCAGCAATACATTGTAAAGCACTGCACAATAATAAGCTACATACTGTGTTGCCCCAGGTTTGCAGCCTGATGTCTCCAGGGTCTCAGGAGAGCTGTGCGGCCTTCGGGGTGGGGCACTGCAGCCTTTGGGGCACGCAGAATGGGAATACAATATACCTGCTTGCTTAAAAGGGAGTCAGCACACCTATTAGGATCTGTGGAACTGGAGCTAGGGGAGTGCATTAAGAAACTTGCTTGAAGCTTACGGTTTGCAAGGCTCTCAAAAGCTAAAGCCTGTGTGCAATGCATCAAAGCAACTGTATTGTGGTTTTAGACCTGTTGCCTCATGGTCAGGGAAGTATAAACATATTCCCCATTTGTAGCCCCCTGATATATAGTCAGAGAACCAGGGCAGAATTCAGGAACAAGGCAGTGGGCAATCATTGAGAATCAGGTCTGGGCTCATCTCAGTGAATGAGAGTCTTTAAGCCCTACAAAGTGAAATAACCCATAGGGAGCAGGTTTCAGTTCACTAAACAGGCAGAAAAGATACTTTGTTGCTCTAATCTATATAGAGATTAAAAACAAGTTAAAATCTAGTTGTTGCTATAGGCATCACTGAGGTTACTGGAACACAGAATACAGAACTTTAAAGAAAGCATATGAAGTGCACAGTTACCTGTGCAGTGTTGCCACAGTCCTGAAGACTAATCTGGAAGATGACCATGTTGTCAGTACTTTGGGTACTTGGCTTGCATTGTTGGGCTCCCAAGCTCAGATCGGAAGGTTTTACTAGCTTTCCATTCCCATACAAATCCCTCTGGACACTGACCTCCATGGTGTCCTCTCCACACTGGACGCTAACAGGGGAACTTCTAGTCTGTGGTTGCTGTCGGAGCATCCCAGCTGGACGTCCAGCAGATAAACCCCACTGAGTTCCAGCTCTGGAAGCCCCAAACCCAAGCACAGGCTCATTACTGCCCCAATAAAGCTCTCTGGAACCCCATCTAGAAGGAACCTGGGCAGGTACAGCCCGCTGGTAGTTCCTCCACCAATCTGACTGGCGACTATGTCTAGCTAAGACACCATCTCCAGCACAGCCAAACCCTGGCCCATAAACCAGTGCAAGCAGCAACAACCAACTACAGCAGCTCCTCAACCTTATGCCCATCCTGTCTGCAAGAGGAACCACATAAGGAGTAAGTTAGAGAGAGTTACCATTTATACCCCTCCCAGCAGCCACTAATACCCTCACCTGGGGCAGATCATTACCACACCCAGATGGCTGGCTCATTCAGCATTAGGGGTTAAGCTGGCCATACACCTATAGATGAAACGATTTTCTATGGTCAGATGGAAAAAGTGCAACAGATTCCTCCATCTATGCTAAACTCGCAATTATCTGCAGATTTTCTGTGGTCAGATGGAAAAAGTGCAACAGATTGGCCCAGGTGGAGATTACTCCATCCACACAGTTAAGTGTAGATGGAGGAATCTGTTGCACCTTTTCCATCTGACCACAGAAAATCTGCAGATAATTGTAAGGTGTATGGCCAGCTTTAATGGAGGAATCTCGCACTGGGCCAAGCTTCAGTGTCTTTCTAGTCGGCCCTTCTGGCTCTCAAAACACCTGAACAATCTGATTGGATGCAGGCATTGTTCAGGTGTTTTGAGAGCCAGCAGGGCAAACTAGCAAGATACTGAAGCTTGGCCCACTGGAAGATTCCTCCATTCACACAGTATAACGTAGATGGAGGAATCTGTTGGACTTTTTGGTGCAAATTCCGAGTTCGTCTGAGTCCCCCCAAGCCTATACAACATTGCAGGACCCATGGGCCACATGTGGCATGCTACAATATATTATCTGGCCCACAGTGACCCCAAGCTGACTGGCAGTGTATGCAGGGGTGCTCTGCTGGGCATTCCTAGTTTTAAGGGAAGATTATGCATTCTTGTAATTTGTATTCATTCATTAATAAAACTGATACTTTTATCCCCATGATTAGTTGTAAAATATTCAATGTGGCCCTTGTACTAAAAAGTTTGAAGACCCCTGGACTAGAGCTACACAGGAGACATTTGCGTTTTATTGTTTGTTGCATTATACACCAAAAAACGATCTGCAGATTATCTATGGTCAGATGTAAAAAGTGCCACAGATTCCTCCATCTACTCCATCTACTCTAAACTATGTGGATGGAGGACTCTCCCACTGGGCCAAGCTTCAGTATCTTGCTAGTCGGCCCCACTGGCACTCAAAACACCTGAACAATACCTGCATCCAATCAGATTGATCCTGTATTTACAGAGCCAGTGGGGCCGACTAGCAAGATGCTGAAGCTTGGCCCAGTGGGAGATATCTACAGATAAAATATCTTGTAGCATGCCACATGTGGCCCACGGGTCCTAGTTTGGAGAAACCGGCTCTAGTCTTAGGGCTCATTTACACTGTTTTGCGCCTATTTCAGAGCCTTTTGCAACAATATGTTGTATGCGTTATGGGGCGCACACCCAAATGATGTCCATAAATTAACTAAACTGAAAACACCTATGTTGCAAAAAAAATTTGCCATCCATGTGTCTTCTGGTCCATTGACGCATGTTTAGGGCCCATTGAAAATGTATTCAGACCATGCAATGCGTCATCATGCTAAATAATGCGTACCAACTAATGTTGCACAGGCTTGGGCGAACTCAGACAAACTGAGAACTTGCGCCAAACAATCGCACATCCTTAGTATCAACACATGCAACATGTGAATGAGCCCTTTGCATTACCATTCATTTCCATGGACCCCAGGACGCACACTGATCCAGTAACATACATGCTGTGCTCTCTGAATGAGCTATATCACTGGGAGCCACTTAGATCTTGCTTTGCTGTAATGTCTTATTTATTATTACTTAAAGTCAGTCCATCCTAAAGTGATGTTGTGGGTGTCCACATCCACCTTTGTGTAATCTCAGCTCCTCCTGTCTGGGTAATATAGTTTAAAAAAAATCCAGGTATAGTGAGAACCTCTTATAATGGGCACAGCAGGTGTACAGACCTATGAACCCAGCTCAAGGATGGAAGGAACCCATCAAAATGGGCACAGAAGGGGTACAGTCCCAGGAACTCAGCATCAGGATTGTGGGAACCTCCTACAGGGGCGGACTGGGCCGGTGGCAGGGTCGCAATTGCCCTCCGGGCCTCACTGATGCCTTAAAAAAGGCCCCCGCCGCCGCCGTGATCACACGTTTAATTTTTCCCCTCTCGGCTGCTCTGTTGCTGCAGCGGCCAAGGAGAAGCTCCTTGGCTGGCTTTGACAGTGCCTGCTTCAGAAATCGGGCTTCTCGGCACTTGGCAGCAAAAGCAGCTTTCTCTGCCCAGTGGCCAGGGCTGCAGAATGCCGACAGGACGTTACAGGCAGTGCCTCTCATAATGGGCACAGCTGGTGTGCAGACCCAGGAACTCAGCTCAGGGATGGTGGGAGCTTCTTATAATGGGCAAAGCCGGTGTGCAGACCCAGGGACCTTCCTCAGGGTTGGTGGGAACCCCTCATTATGGGTAGAGTAGGTGCACCGATCCAGAAACCCAGCTCAGGGATGGTGGGAACCCCTGATAATGGGCACAGCAGGTGGTTAGAGTCAGAAACAGTACAGGAATGGCGGAAAGTGAGCTGCAGTGTCTGGGACAGGGAAGCACGTGACACACAAATGAAGGAGGATTTGGCACAGTCAGTGAAGGTAAAGGAAAGTTTGTTTCCTTTATGAGGCTTATGCATCACATAGTAAATGGAATTGGCACTTGTTTAGATTGTCATACAGGAGCTCTTAGTTGTACTTTAGGTGATGTGGAAGAATACCAGCACTAAATAAATAAGACATCAACTACAGATTTATACTACAGGTATACATTATTTGTAGCTACAAAAAAAATATCTATCTATATATATATATACTGTATATACACCGATCATACATCACTAATCAACAATCTTGAGTAGGTTCCCCTTTTCCTGACCCATCGAGGCATGAACTCCACTAGACCTCTGAAGGTATGCTGTGGTATCTGGCACCAAGCCGTCCGTACCAGATGCTTTAAGTCATGTAAGTTGTGAGGTGATCGGCCTCCATAGATCGAACTTGTTTTTCCAGCACATCCCACAGATGCTCCATTGGATTGAGATCTGGTCAATTTGGAGACTGCTGGGCCGGGGGCGGTAATGTTGCCAATGGTATATGCTAGGAGAGGGTAAAAATGTTCAGGAGTGACCTTGGAAAGTCAGTATCCTCCTGGGTGGATTGTCCGATCTTCCTAGGCCAGCTGCCTAGGGAGGATTGTCATTTGCTCAGACTGAGGCCTGGGACTTAGGCTCAGTGAGTGAAGCTTGAGGAAGATGATGACATGGAGCAACTACAGCATGCATGAGGCGCTAGGGAAACTGCCCTCTGCTGAAGCATGGTGATCTATTCTTTAAATGAACTGTTAGCTATATTCCCAAGTATTCTACAGTCAGGAGATGAAGGCACAGAATAATGGGTCATCTTACAGATCTTCTATGTGTAAAGGCTGCAAGCACTTTGTGGTTATTATTAGATTCTACAAAATCCAGGGTGTCCTGTGCCTTATCCTATTGCCTTGAGTTATTCAATAAAAGTTCATCATGCTTCAGATTAGGGCTGTACCAATTTTTCAGTATCGAGTACCGATATTTTGCTTTTGGTACTTGCCGATAGAGTACCAATACCGGTGCTTCTGCTGGCATGGAGCCGGCTTCCCAGGCAATCAAGTAGCCGGGCTGCGGGTAATGACATGCCTCCCGGCTTCCTGATTCGGAGGGAAGCAGGTATCTTGGGCAATCAGCATTGAGCAAGCTTCCCAGCCAATCAGGAAGCTGGGTGGCAAGTAATGACCCACCTCACAGCTTCCTGTTGGCTGGATGCTGATTGGCTGTGAAGGCGGCTTCCCAGTCAATCAGCATGGAATATTATGTAGCCCTCAAGATGCATTTTTCCAACCAGCATTGAAATGCAGCTCCTGTAGTTCAGTTTTTATATTTCTTAAATAATCTGTACCATTGATTTATATTTTTTAAGGACCAAAAGTTGTTTAAGGTTTACATACACTCAGCTTGTGCTTAGACCAGGGGTGCCCACTATTTTTCGTCTGGAGATCTACTTTTCAAATGACGAGCTCATTGAGATCTACCAACAAAAAAACACCTGCATTCAGGGGCGGGAGGGGGTGTGGCGGTGCATTGAAGTCAATGGCTCCGCAGACAGGTCCCTCGCCCACAGTGCGATCGCCTGCCTTAGTGCCTGTGTTCCAGTCCAGTGCAATCCGCAAAAATGCTGCGAGCATTATTTTTGCAGATCGCACTGGACCGGAATGCAGGCACTAATATGCCTGCGTTCCGAGTGCGGGCGATCGCAATGTGGGCGATGCCATTGACTTCAATACAGCTCCACACCCCCTCCCGCACCTGAACGCAGGGAGTCGGCTGGCTTACATTCCAGTGCGCCCTACATGCCCCGTCGTCTTGTCCTCCCGTGTCCGACGTTGCACATGGGGTGTACTGCTACGCGATCGACTGGTAGATCGCGATCGACCTTGTGGGCACCCCTGGCTTAGACCATTATACGAGTATTAAGTGCATTGTGAATTCATTCCCCAGTCAAATCTCTCACTTTGTATAGAATGTTTAGACTGTTGGTTATGTGTTTAGATGGAGCACTGAGATGTTAAGGAATGCTTAAAAAGAGAACTATGAGGCGAGTGATTTCCACTCATCCTCATAGTTAGAGCCGACCTGTGACAGACGTTTTCACAGATCGGCTCTATTGATCAGGAAGTGAACAGAAACATGCTGCTGATCCGCTCACTTCGCCAATCTTCTCCCATTTAGTGAGCGTTGACTGACAGTCACCGCAGGGATTCCCCCCCCTCCCCGATCCTCCAGCACTAAGTGGAGGAACCTAATGGTGCGGAAACAGCTGGCTCTGCCTCTAGATAGGAAGAGCAAGCAGTCACTCACACAGCTGGGTGGATCACTACAGTATTGTCGGGATCCGTCCCGGGTGCATCATTTAGGATATCGCGAGCAATAGCTCGCTATATACTGAGCTTTGAGTCACGGGAGGTTAGTATATGTACTCCCATGACCCTAAAGAGAGAACTATGGGGAAAACCGCTCACCCCATAGTTCTCTTAAGTTTTACTTGCTTAGGACATTACAAGTATACAGCAATAACAGGAAACATATATAACCAAAGACAAAACATGCGTAAGCAGAGACCAACATTGCACCATCTAGTGCTTAAGATATTACTTACCGTATTTTGCGGTCCATAAGACGCACCGGACCATAGGACGCAGGGAGGTCCGGCACGCCTTATGGAGCACTCGACAGACTAGCTTCTGACACAGCTTCTATGACAGAAGCTGTGACAGAAGCTGCAGTTAGTGACCGCTGAGACAGGTGGCGCTGTGATTACAGCACCACGGTCTCAGTGATCACACAGAGCAGACGAAGAAAGTCCATTCTTAGTCTGCTCTATGGTGATCTCGATCGTCGCCGCTGCTCGGTTTTAATACGAGTGATCTCATTAGATCACTCTATTGAACGAGCAGTGGCTCCTGTTGCTGAACTTGATCGCCGCCGCTCGGCTTTAATACGAGTGATCTCATTAGATCACTCGTATTAAACGAGCAGTGGCTCCTACTACTCGCCCAGCACTGCATGTCTCGGGCGTCGGGATTCGCTCCATAAGACGCAGGCACATTTTCCCCCTCCTTTTGGGGGGGGGGGAAGTGCGTCTTATGGAGCGAAAAATACGGTATATAAAAGTCAATAATAGATTGCACTTGAGTGTCCAGGTTTTATTTTCTTGGAGTGAATCCATTTCTTCTTCGCTGCCTTTCTACATTGATGTGGCTTTGCGTTTTGGTAAATTGTCGACATCCTCCTGCGATGTTTGTTCGAGTATGCCATGCGCCTTAGCTGTATATGACAGCTTGCAGGGTAGTATTCTCTTTGTTGCTCAAGTGGATCCTGTGATTTGAACATGGAACTTGAATTATCCTTGATAGTTCCACCCCTTGTTCAGACTTCACTTTGCTCAGCTTCCTTTGCTGGTTCATGGGGTGAATTCCCTTCCCAAGATCATTGTTTCTGGTGACCAGTTCTCATTGAAGTAAAAGCCAATATCAGGCAAGTGGGTGGCAGCACTGGCTGGTAAAGACTTGCTGCTTGGCCAGCTTCCCAACCAATCAGGAAGCTGGATGGTGAGTCATTACATGCTTGACGATTTGCCAGTCCTTTTACAGCAAAAGCACTACTTTTTTGTTTCGCTGCACGCTCTCATGCACTTTGAGTGCATATTTTCCTTCTGTCATATTTGATCATTTTGCTTTAGTATATTATACAGTTAGTTCCTGCTCACATCTGGTTTCTAGAGCGTTAGAACAATGACTCTGAAAGGCTTCTCTCCAAGTGCATGTACTGCTACCATTTCCAGCATGGCATTCCATGAGTATGGTTTTATTTCCAACATAGACTGCCACTGGGAATGCAAATATCTTTACCCTGTGACACTTGGACACAATCATGATGTCAAAGGGACAGCAAAAGCCTCAACACCCCCTACCACAAAAACCCAAGTTTTGGTCCATTACCAGTGTTAAGATTAAAATGATCAACCCAATGACAGACC